GTAGTTTTCCTACGAGTTTGAAAAGTCTCTGTTTGCGAACCGAGAGGTTTGCGGCCCGAGCCGAAGGCGAGGGACGTAACGAGGTTCGTAAAGGAGACTTTTCGAACGAGTTCTGGAAAACTGCTTTTTTGCCCGAGGAAGTACCAGCCTCCCAAAACCACCCGAGGGCGGAAAATGTATTTTTCACCCGAGAACCTCTGCTATTTAAGTAACAGTGTAATCGATAGGCATTTGACACTGAGACCCAATGACACTGATCCCTAGTTGAAAGCTAATTCAATAGAAGCACCAACCCCGTATGGGCTCCTTTCCATAATATCAACTTCACAGATCAATCCTCTTGGATATGTTCTTAACGTCGATTCCACATTACGTTAATTCTAAACGTCAATAACCTCGACTCGCACCAGGACCAAAAGACATCGCACAGAAGTACCTAACTTACTCGCACTCGTCGACCCTCTCGTTTGCTCGCCGAAGCTGATCTGGCGCGCCTTGGTCGTACGAGTCTTCCCTTCGCGCAGTGCTCCTCTTTCCGCGCAGTCCACTCACTGCGGTGGCGAACGTACAACAGCTATATACCGTGACACAGTGTTATGAAGGTGAGCCACAAAAATACTTTTATTGGGACGGGAGTCTTCTAACTGTAGTTTTTTTGAAAGATCTCGATCGTACCCCTACTAGAAGTATAGCAGAAGAAGAATTATGACTTTCTTTCCAACCAGTGTATTTTTATCTGAGTCGACTTTGCGTGCAAAAAAAGGTGAAAAAGGAAATGCGTAAGAAAAATCCTGAAAGACATCTCCACTTTCACCGTCTGACCATATAACGACTTTACTACTTGTTTCCTCAGTGGTCCAGCGCTATTAATGCAAAAGTTTCGCTCTTTTGAATTTTTGAGCTGTGATTTTGGGCAATAGGTGTGGTGAGTGGCAATGACATGCGTCAAAATTTTCTAATTCAGCACTTATACCACTGGGACACCTCTACCATGTACATATCGGTAATACATCTCTTGGCTTTTATTAGAGAAAATGTCAATAGACATTACTCATTCGAAACTTGCACGGAGGTGTACATTCGACACCTTCAGCCGGAAATCGCCGGAAAAAATGAGATTTACAGGTCAGTTGTAACGCTGTACTTTTATCATATAAAAATGTCTCTCATACTTTTGTCATACGCGAGAGAAAGTCTCCGTATATGAAAGGCCAGCGTCCAAGTCATGGTCTCAAGATATGCGGCTCTCGTGGCTGGAAATTTTTTAATACACGACGAATAACAGAAAGATGCCTGGCATGACCACCAGCGAATTCCATGATAGTGCGAAATGCGAGATGTTTTTCGATATAGAATGAAATGAGATAAAAAAGAGAAGGCCACGATGGAAAGCGGGAAAAATATGCGCTGATAAATTTTTCCACTGAACACATTTCCCACCTCTTCAGCACCTCTTGGATTCTTTCGATAAATTGTCCCTACCCTCTTTCGCGTGCCATTTTTTCCCTCCTTATTTTTCCCTGTACATACTCATACCTGCATGGGCTCTATAGTATTCACTTGTATGTAACTAAATCGCATTAACGCTATAAAGCTGCACACAGTATTACATATTACAGTAAAATTCTAAAATTTTTGTTAAAAATAAATACAGCATCGGTTTGCGTTGGGAAGATGGGTGTTCAAAAAGCTTTTATTCAGCTCCACACAAACAATGTACAGTATTGACTAATTCAAGTCTGGCCAAACAAGCAAAATAAGGATCGAGACAGACAGCATTTAAAGGTAGAACTGATGCATATATGGTGGTTGTGGTTTCTCTTTAAAATGTAACGCTACTTTTTCTTTGCTCTCGTGCCACTACTGCGCTCTTTCATCTAGTTCTGCTTGTATCTCGATCGCTTGAGTTGAGGGAAAAAAAAAAAAGCAACAGAAAGGAGCCAGACTGGAAACACGCACAAAGCTCTTCCGCTTCGGAAGCTCTTCCGGGAAATTAGAAAAATTCTTTTCTAAATCCCTTCCAGTCGTACACCACTGGTTTGGTACCTATACGAGGAGGAGGTGAGCGTAACGGCAAACGGAGGGCTTTTTCCCACTGGAAAGTTAAAACGAGTTTGGAGAGAAAGAGATGGAGCCAAGCTAATCGCGTCGAATAGGAGATCCACACCGTAAAAAAAGAAAAAATAATACCGGAAGACAATGATACGGATGAAAAAGTAGCACAGGATAAATGACAGGAAAAGGGACACTTGTCCGATCGTGTTTTTTTTTTTTTTTTTTTTTGGAGGACGAACCTTTGGTGAAAGATGTCGCATCGACATACTTCTATTTTCCTCCCTTACTCCAAGGTTTAGATAAATCATTAAGATATTGTGGTACAGCGACAGCACCAGAAATGAAAAGTCGCGCGTAAAAATGTGGGGAATCTCTCGGATCTTTGACTATACGCTGCTGCTATTGTACTGCTGTCCAAGAGGCCGAGTATCACACAAAAATAGTGAAACATGGGTACACACGTACAGTGCAAGGGGTGAAAAGCAGAGGAACATCTCGTGGAAATTCAGAGGCGGTATCTCGTCAGTGTGATCGTCGACCCGATTCGGTCGCCAGACGCGAAAAATAACGAGCGATTCGGAATAGTGTGGAGTATTTTTCTCTTTATCCTTTCAGAGAGGACCCGTCCTTTTCTCCGGAGGAATAACTTTTTCCTTTTTTTTTCTCGCCTTCTGACTTTCCCTCTCTTTTGCTTTTCACTATGAACTTGTCTAGCTGGAGACACTTTTTCACGTGTCACAGCACTCGAGCAGTTATTATGTTCAGACTCTGTCGCTTATGTGGTACGAAAATAGAATAGACAAACGTAAGAAAACATACACAACCAACTCGACCAAGGGATGATTTTGAGGGTGAAATTTTGCAGTTGCTCGTTTATCCTTGTTGCCTTTTGATGTTGCGGAATAGGAAATAAAGGATAAGCCTTTTGTAGGTGTAGGTGTATATAAAGAAGAAAGTGGTGTAGGTCAAAAGCTGAAATGGGCTCGAAGTTTTTTTATGTTTGGCACGATTTCAAATACCGTTTTACGCCCCCATTGTGCTACGCGTTGGCTCTTCTCTTGGTGCTCTCGAGCGTATTTTCTGAAATTACCTACTCATTACACAATTAGGCCAAAAAAGTTTCTTACGATTGCCGGGATCTTCTAGTTTATTTCTCTCTAACGGGTTTTCCGAAACTACATTTTTTTTTTTTTTTTTCGCTCACGTTAGAAGTAGTGTCTTTTTTATTTTTATTTTTTATCCAACAAAAGTGGAATCATAGTCACTTATTTACTTAATTGACCTAAAAACTCGTAACGTTGATTTATGACACAGAGCAACCGTAATTCAATTCATTAATGCAACTTACTGATATGTTTCCCGAAAAAGTAAATTTTCAATCATCATTAATAAATTGTAATGTAAATATAAAAAAAGTGAGAAAGGAGGACAGGAAGGCAATCTTCGTCAAATATTTCAGCTGAGCCAGAAACGATGTTTCCCGCAGAGGCTGACCAAACATTGATATCGACCACTTTTTTTCGTCACCCGATGAATAACCTTTTCTTCACGCAGTCGAGGCGCAAAAGGACTTTCATGCGCGACGGAACCATCACCACAACCACATAAGACCAACGACATCGTCCATCGAGCCAAGCCCCACGGAAGGAACGTCTCCAAGGAGGCCATCCTTGGCACTACCTTCCCCAGCCACCCCCAGAGTCTCCCTGATCGCCGCCACAAGTCTCGGCCTCGCCGAGTCCGAAAACGAAGGCAACCACAGGATGAAGGAAGAACTCGAGGACAACGTCATACCCGAAGTCCAAACCGTCGGTCAGACCGAACGCACCACCGAGTCCACGGCTATCACGCCGAGCAGTACAACTACCGAGGCCACCACGACGACCACCATGACAACTACACCCACCACTTCGACGACGATGAGGACCACCACTACCACGACGACGACGACCACACCAGCGCCTACTACGCCGAGCACGCCACCACCACGTGAGTTGATTTTTTTTGTTTTATCGAGTACTTTGCAAAGTTATAATTTCAATTCATAAAACTTCCCAAGTTTCGTACTTCAAGAGTTATTGAAAAAAAAAAAATAAAATAACACGGATGAGTTGAGCAGTTGTAAAACAATTTGTCTTTTACAAAACTTTGAGGACAAGAAAAACCAATCCATGCATAATGGCTATTGATGGAAAAACACAGGTGTGCGATATCTTACCGATCCAACTGCTTCGCAGTAAGTCACAGTGAAATGAGAAAGAAAAAAAAAATTGGCTTCTTAATCAGCGTTATGTACGTCCTCGCGCAGCCTTTGAGCGATACTTTTTTTAAATATACAGGTCGGATCGGTGATAACTTTGCGTATACACAGGCTAGGGCGCTCGATATTTCCCGGAGCTATATTTTTTTCCTCCTCGAGTGAACTCGTTCCCCGTCAAAGCTGGAAGGACGTAACCTTATTATGTGTAAAATCTTTTCCGTGTTTGCGGCATCTTATCGTCGGTAATAACTTATGCAACATCGAAATGTCAGATATCGGCTTTAATACTTGCATAAACCCGGTAATTGGACGCGAAAGCCGTAGTGAATGGCTTCTTGTTGTGAATCTGCATACTGGAAATTTGAAAAACATTCGGCTGTACGAAAACGAAAGATCAATGACAGAGTTGCTCGAGTGGAGGAAAAAATAAATCAGGTCGAGACAAAAGAGGAACAAGTAGTTGTGTGACTTTGTAGGACAATCGTATGGCCATTCCCCACGGACGTATTTTAATTCCTAGATGTCAGAGCGCAGGTACAGGGAAATAGAAAAAGAGAAATAAAAGTAAGGAGGAGATCGTCGAAACACTTTCCTCGAGAGAGAGAGAGAGAGAAAGAGTTTGAGATCGCGTCGTTCTTTTCCTCGAGGCGCTTGTCAATTTTCTGGCACGAGTTCAACCGTCGATTGTTTGCCTCGCCCTCAGCGTCGAGAAAATCTACTTTTGTGCATCTGATGTTTCTGTAACTCCATCGCTTGGATATCCTTTGTGACTTTAGGGAGTCAAAAGTCAAAAATGCATTTGAAGAGACAAGCATTTTTTACAATGTCTTGGATAAGGTAAAAAAAACATATTCTACCCCCGAGAAATGTACCAGTACAAACACGCGACAAAGAAATTCCGGGCCTACTCGTGCGCGCATTTTTTCCTGAGCATACAAAATGACGTGTGCGCGTGAAAAGCACAGACGAAAGCTTATTCGGAAAAGGAGGGACTGTACATACATATAGAGGTTTCAGATGCCGCCGACTGGGAGCCTTTGATCGCCCCACCGGCTTGGCTTGGCGAAGTGCCGATTGCGCTTTTGTCGCTCGGAGGGAACAAAAAAGGTTCCAAGTCTCTAGCTCTGCTTATTCTTACCCATTCGCTCCTGTTTCAGATGAACTTCTTTCCATTTTACTTTGACTGTAGCTTCGGTATTTCTTTGGTTAAAGCCCTGAGGCTCGTACCGATATTAGAAAAATCAACGTTCTGTCTCTACTTTCTATTTTTGTTTTTTTTGTTTTTTTATTTACTTGTTGAACGCGATTGGTACCTTGTCGATTTTTGTACATTGTAGATGTTCAGTAGATAAATTTGACAGTTCGGTTATTATATAATTTTAATGAAGTCCTATAATCTAAATAACAATCGAGTAACATCGGAAAATCAATGAAAACGCGAACAAAGGAAAATAAGCTCGAGCTGCGAGAAATAGAAGGTGGAGGAAATTCCGTTTGCCAAAGATAAATCGGAAAAGCCATTTGTTTCACGGAAAACAGAGCCATACATTATATTTCAAAAATTGTAGCTGCAGGCAAGAATGCGTTAGTTGAAAGCGAGATGGGATGGATGGGAGAGCGATATTGCGTAGTGTTGCCTGTACGCTTGTGTTTTTCTCTTCTTGCAGGTTACTGCGTCGTGCAGAGGACGGGTCAGTCTCATCAGTACATCCGCGTAGGAAAGCTCAAGCGGGTAAGTTTTCCACTATACTATTTTAGACTATTCTTGCATTATCTCCAACTTTTTTATTTTAATTACCTTGACGTTTTAATGAGCAACCGTATGGGTCCTAAAAAAGAGCTTTTGCAAGCTCATCTGTGCCACTGCAAAGATAATTTCCACCTCAGATTATAGATGTATGCACGTAGAGACCCACTAGGATCCTCCTCGAAAATAAATGTCCTTGTGCTTTGTTGGTCGGCACAGCTGTACCGGGAGGACGAGCCCGAGTGCTCGGAGCTGTGCCAGTGCGACGAGAACGAAAGTGCGACCTGCAGTGCCATTTGCGTCGAGACGTCGCCCTGCAAGACGGACTTTGCCTTCTACAATCACGCGGCGCCTGCCTACCAGGCCTACCGTGGCCGATGCCTCTGCTACAGCGGCCGCTTCATCTGCATGAGACCCGCCCCCGGTGAGTACCACCACTGCCTTTCACTTCATTCGCTGGAACTACTCGGTGGTAGTAGTATACACNATAGAAAAGAAAAAAAGAATCTCTTTATCCGCTTGGGGGATTGAGGCAAATTAAATAGTCACATTAGGGGAGAAGAGTATCATTGGGTCGATCGGCGATTTGTCAGCGAAAAAATACTGCAAGACGGGCTTGGCGACAATTGTAATAGCAACATTAAACCTGGAAATAAGATCAAGTCGTACGAGTGGAGGCGTCGAGGTGGAGACGAAGAGGAAGAGGACGTAAGCCGAGACAGCCCCGAAATTCGTGGGTGACATGGGAATGTACGTGTGTGTATGTGTACGATGAATCGGGCCACCTACCTAAGTATCTTACTTCAGAAATTCCCACGTGAGACATTTGAACAGCTAAACAGAATTCCTTTAGCTTTTATTTTTTTTTTTGTTTCTGTTTTTTTTTCTTCTCTCGAACAGCTTACACTTACTGAAGTCTCATAATATTCACTTGAATTTTCATTTTGTATGCTTATTTTTATCATAAATTTTTAGCTTATTAAAAAGTCTTTTTTCCACTTTTTTTTATATTGCAATTTTTCGTACACCACAACAGAAAGGATAATTAAGATAATAAAGAGAGGGTCACATCTTTCCTACCATTCGTTATATTCCATCTTATGCCAACTTCGCATGTATGGAAATGTATCAACTCTTAAAGTGCCTAAAAAACATTAAATATAATAATTATAATAAGTAATGATGATCAAAAATATATCAGACCTGCCTAAGATACGCTATAGTGAATTATTAAAAAAAATTAAAATTTTTGAACGAGTATTCGCAATGGGCTTTGAAGTAATTGTCACAAGTATAGTAATGCAGTATTTTAGGTCAGATGGAATTGCAGACAATCGTAAAGAAAACCATTTCTGATTTATTGAATACAAGTTGACGGATAACTTGGCATTACTAAAGAAAAAAAAAATATTTTCAAATCATGCAAAGAAAAGTTTGAATCTGATAATCGTCATAAGTAGTACTAATCAATATTATGTCAGACGCCCGTAAATTGACGATGTTTACTCGACGACTATCGAGCTGATCGAGTCGCAGATGGAGAATCCCCTCATAGACGCCGACCATCAGGACCTCCACGCGCTCAAGCAGATACCCATACCGAATGTCCACCATCATCATCGCGTCGTTCATCACAAACAGAGGAATCAATCCCACGAGGATCTCGAAGGTATGTACACATCTGTTTGTTTACCCCATATACTATAAACTATTGCTGTCTAGCTCTCACTGATATGATACTCGATAAAATTGTTGAGACGTATTTGATGTGACAACGTTTATTTCGTTCAAAAAGTAAAATATTGAAAATATAATCTGCACAAAAACAGATGGTAAAAAAAAAATTAGTCGCCTATAGAAAATAAATTACTTAAAAAAGGAGCTCATAGGAAGAGGCGAATGTATTAAAAGAGAGTAGTATCTGTGAAAAAACGAGAAACAGCATTCGGAATTGAAGTCCTTCGACAGTCGGGCAGGCAGGCATAGAAAGGAAGTGCGCTCTAATTGCGGATCTGCGAGTTAAAATTTGAAATCCGGTAAG